ATAGATAGATAGATAGATAGATAGATAGATAGATAGATAGATAGATAGATAGATAGAAAAGGGAAATTACAGACACAGAACAGCATTTCATGAGGAAGTTCCCAAAAAGTCTCAAACTGTTTCAAGGATTCTCTTTTTTTATTCACAAGCCGCAAAGCTCAAAAATTAGCGAAATGAAAGAACCGTGCATAACAATAAAATGTAATTTGACACTCAAAAAGTGAACTAATTAATAAAAACGTGTCAGTGACATTGTCTAACATTTTATGCTACATTTGGCACCCCATACTCATGAACCCAACTGTAATGAACACAAACGAACASTGCTGATATGATTCTGTAAGAGTAAAAGCTCAACACAGAATATTATTTGCAAACTTAATACCTGTAGATGTTCTCAATACTCCACWCTTGCTGTTTCACGAGCTACAGTTGGGTCTCAACCTCACCTTTGTGAACCAATGTTTTAGAAATTGGACAGCAACTTTGGAGTAGTAATAGATTTACAGTCTTTTATTAYATCTGTGGGAGAACTGCACACCAGTTTCTACATAAAAATCTCAAAGGATAAAAGTCTATGAGTTTTGTACATTTACTGCTAAAAAATCTAATTCGTTATTTATCTAGTAATCATAAAAAGGTGTGTATCTAAATTTAACTCCCAGAAAGCAGACATGTTTGTTTCACCACATTCCTGACTTTAACCTGTTCTCAGACTGAAAGATTGCATGCATGTGCTGATAAGCAAGTTGCTTACTCATTCAAAAAGGGCAAAAAGTGGATCCATAACTGGCACAGAGAGTTTGAATAAAGCATCTCTTGTTGACTCTGATGCTGCGAGTTTAGATAAGAGGAAGCAGCGCAGTCATAGAGTCATCTCTCAGGGATGTGTGGGTTGTACGTAGGAGGCTACTGCTGCCTGCTTTCTGGGGTTGTGAGAAATAATGCAGTTTTTCATTAGATTTCTCCCGTCTGCGTGAATCGGATTTTCTCCCACCTTTTGTGCCCCAGAACACAAACAAAAGGAAGGAAGCCTGCGGCGTTGCCACTCGGGTGTTCCTGCAGTTTTACTGTGACTCAGTGATGATGAAGCTGTGAAGTGTTTTGTGTATTTGTTCGACAGACAGATTGTTTCTGCAGTTTGTCTTCAACTTTCCAAAGAAAAAAAAGGAAAGAAAATCTTCTCACCATCTGACTGCCTTCAGTCACAATCAGTTTGTCTAAAAGGTCTCAGAGTCAGACATAAGGTGGGACTGTGAGTAGCAGTGACACTTCATCACAATTACAAACTTTCAGACCCTGAACGTGTGGCTTTAGGCTCAGTTTGAGCRACTGGCATTCAGGACTCATGGAGGGTCAGCTGTTTCTTTTGGAAGCTGATTGTTGCTCTTGCTTCAGCCAAATGACTGTTTAGTAATTTGTCTTTATGACTGTCTTCTTGGATTTATCTCAACAAATAATGGTTTACCTACCACTACGCTTGAAATTAAATTCCTTCAACTTTTCAATCCATCTACCATATTTCACATTATCTTCCTATGTAAAAATCAGGGAGGTGCAATAAAATAAAATAAAAATAAACCCAGCCTCTAAATTTTCAACTGTATGAACAATTTATCTCTGGTGACTTCAACCCCCCTCGTCTTTTATTTTCTATTCTTTTCTTTTGTTTTCTTTATAGACGAATCTCATCAGCAGTGTAACACCAGTAGTCAACTTCAGTAGGTTGAAAACCTACAGATGAGAGAAACATTAAACATCACATATAACAATAAATTCTTTTAACTTTATATATTTCACTAGTTTCTAAATTCATGCTTGTAATAATTTACTTTTACTGACAAAGAAACAGATAAACAATGATGCAAACAGTGCAAACTACCAGTGTTGTGGTTGAGGAAGCTTTCAGCTGAGGTTCTTTGTCTGAAAAGAGATCAGTCTGAGAGCACAGGTGATCAGGATTATCTTTTAGATTTGGCTGCAGAGACTAAGCAGTGAAAGGGATGGATGTGCTTGATTCTTTGGAAGGTTCACCCCAGTTGGGTGGGGACAGTGAAACCATTAACACTGTCAGATCTGCTGGTTTAACTTAACAATATGATAATATTTAATAAAATTCTGCTACGGTGGTGGGATGTTGTGTGTCTCTTATTTGAATTCTTGTCTTCAGTTCTTTGTATGAAAATGAGTTGAGGTTAAATAAAATTCACGCTCTGAGGGAGCCCTTCAGCTAAAATGCACCAGTGATGATATTTTGATAAAATATTCAGCTGTACTGCTTTTATAGAACATCACAATTCCCCATGATTAAACAGTGTTTTGGTTAACTTTGTAATATGTAAATTATACATTATTATAAAGAATGACTCATACTAAAACAATATATTTTACAATGGCTAGTTCCCACCATGAAGGGGTTTAAATAAGCTGTGAATAGGCATAAATAAACCGTTTAAGCACAGAGATGTTTTACATCCCCTTTGTGTGTTTGTGTGTGTGTGTGTGTGTGTGTGTGTGTGTGTGTGTGTGTGTGTGTGTGTGTGNGTGTGTGTGTGTGTGTGTGTGTGTGTGTGTGTGTGTGTTTGACCACTTGTTAGGTTGCAGAGCAGCTCATGACAATCGCCTATGAGAGTGGAGTCAACTTGTTCGACACAGCTGAGGTCTACGCTGGCGGCAGGTGAGCGGCAGACAAACCTCTGTGTTTGAAGGATAAAACCAGTCAGGTTTTATCACATAAGATATTTTTCTGCTTAAACCCTCAGAAGTGGCTTTAATATTTACTGTTTCGTTTATTTATTTTACTATTTCACATTTTGCAATGTGAGTTTCTATAAGATCGGAAAACAAAAAGTTATGAAAACTGTTACAAATTGAAAAATAGAATCAGTAGATTCTGAATCAGTGAGGTCGAGTTTTATTTTACAAATAATTTAGAGAAAAAAATAGTTTTTTTATTTTAATTTGTAATTTTGTGATGTTTTCTCTGATTTCCACGTTGGGCTGATTTGTTTCAGGTTTTATTGCTCCACATTCAATCTCACTCTGTTTGGCTGCATTTAGCCACAAACATGATTTGTTTTGATGAATTATTTCAGTCACAGGAATGAAAAACAATATTTTTTAGTATGCCTTCTGATTTAAAGTGTTCACACCTTTGAAGGTTTTGAAGACATTTATAGTTATTGTCTTACCTGCAGTAGATGACTAACTTCAGAGGGATMCCATTTTGAAAAATCAGGGAGAAATTCTCTGTAACTTGTCTTTAAAATGTGACTTGATTAATGATGATCAAAGACTAACTACAACAAACATTAAATAATTATGCTTTAAGCAGTTTTTCTACTATGACTGAAGTCTCTTTTCCCTCGTCCTGCTCCTTCTCTTTTTAGAGTTCAAATCTGATTGTTAACACCAGTGCTTTTTTCTGTTTATAAATATTTCTGTCCAAAACATATTTATGATGTGATTCTGCTGTTACAAGACATTGTGTTTAATTAAACTTATATTGACACGAGTTACWGTCAGAGTGTACTAACATGGAGCGTGCGCACTGAAACATGGAGCTTTTTTACAAGTTTTGAAATCACACAGTGTTTGCTGAACTTTAGTGAAGTCCTGCTAACAGCTGATCAGAAGAAAGTCCATTTAGCTATGAATTTCTACTTTTTAGAACAACTCTTTCAAAAATTTCTTAGTAGCTTAAATTAACAGTGTCGGCTCAGTCTGAACATGACAAATCCAACACGGGTCTTTTCACTGTATGGTCCTGAACTGCTCACATCATCTCCCCTAAAGCATCCTTGAAAAAAATCCAWATTATCTCTTTAAGGATACCTGAAGAAGGTGCTGTCTCAAGTTGTGACACGTTTCATCCAAGCATGAGGAAAAACCCAAAAGGAACTCTTTTCTTTAGCTCTGAAGTTAAAACCTGATCTCTTCCTCCCATCACGGTCGTGTGTTTGAACAGAGACGTTACTGGAAATCTCAGAAGTTTTTCCACTGCCCGTTAGAAAAATGTAGTTCTCTGCCTCTGGGGTGCGTTCAGTTTAATGACAGGGAATCGTTGTGTTGATGTTGTGATGGAAATGCTTCTAACTTCAAACTGTGGTTTAATAACACCACYTCGTTTGTGTTGCCTTGCAGGGCCGAAATCATTTTGGGAAACATTATCAAGAAGAAGTGCTGGAGGTAATGACGTTAATGTGTGTGACTGCTGGAAGGATGGTGTGTTTGTGTGTCTACATTTGATTTGTGCTGTCWGTTACAGCTGCATCGTACTGATCACGCACACAGACAGAAACGTTTTATCACAATGCTGCAGAATAAAAAAAATCAGTACGAGTGGTGGTAATCTCTGCAGTTCAAGTGTTTTTTTATGGCATTATTACATCATGCCCCATCGTTTCCAGTTTGACCATCTCTGCAAGATGCAGGAAGGTTACATCACGAAGCAAGATAAAATTTCAAAAATATTCTTGACTTTAGTCTTACTAATAAAATGTAATTACATTTTTTCCAATAAAAAAGTTGAATACTCACTTCTTTTTCTGCACATACAAGTAGAACTGCATTTCCGTATATACACTGCTCAAAAAAAATAAAGGGAACACTTAAACAACGCACACTAAGTCCAAGTAAATCAAACTTTTGTGAAGCACATTCAACTCTGTACAGAACAAAGTACTCAATACGAATATTTCATTGATTTAGATCGGGACTTAGCGTGCTTTGTTTAAGCTTTCCCTTTATTTTTTTGAGCAGTGCACATTTTTTTCAATTTTTTCCACATAAAAAAACTCTTATCAAATATTAAATGTTTTCTGACGTTAAGTTCAGATCATTAAAAAGAACTGSCTGTTTCTGTAACAATAGTTTTCAAGCCTTCGGCTGCTCCAAACGTGGGAACATTTATCTGCTGTCACTTCTCTCTGCGCTGCCTCCATCATTATGCRGCTCACAGTGGTGTCATGTTCTGGGCTGACTACATTACACCAGTGGGCGTTTTGATGCTGGTACAGTTAAAGCACACTGAAGCTGACATTTCTGGCTGAGTGTTCTCATGAACACGCAGAGAGGGGATTTAAGGTGGAATAGGAATTTGCAGCGGAGTAATATTAATATAGGTAAAACACACAAATCTAAATAAATACTTGCAGGTATTCACGTCTGCATATTTCTTAATTAAATACCAAAACAATGATGAAATATAATGAAATCTGCACAGAATACTGACAGAAATCATACCTGCCTTGCCTTGTGTTTTTTTTTGTCCAAACACCCTCATATAGCACCTTTAATCAAAAATGCACAACTGTTTTACAACAAAATCCCACCTTGATGACGATGTATGGTGAGTTCAGAAAGCCAGGACCAGCTGATGTTAGAGACTACAGAGCTTCATGTCTCAGTGCTGGTCTAAACTGAGAACACACTGAACCTGTTTAATGCAGTTTGTGTCACTCAGCAGCTCACATTGTTCTCTTGTTTTGTGTGTCTTTCTCTGTCTAGGCGGTCAAGCTTGGTTATTACAACTAAACTTTACTGGGGAGGAAAGTAAGTGAGATYATCTATTTTCCATTTGTCAAATGACGACCAAAAAATGAAAAGATCTTTGCGTTATTTCTCACATTTAAAAAAAATTTTGTGTTTAAATTAAGCAGTTTTGTATGACTAACATAATGTTTCTTTCTCCTTGACTTTGTTGTAAATACACACAGCTTTGTGTTTCATTCACTCTGCTCACAGTTAATTAGTAAAGTATTGAGAAACCAGTGCTGGAAAWTAAATGTCTCTTCTTGAGTAAGTTCAGTGCAAATAGTTGAGATTTCTCAATAGTTCAGATCTATTGAAGTGGGGTTCTGTAAACAGTAAATATCTTACTTGTTATAGATAACTTTTTGGTCAACCTCAGTTTGGAGAAAAGCTTTCATTTTGACATGACYGATGGGCAAAAATCTCATCTGAGAAAAAGCAACATTAAAACATTTTAAATTCATTCTAAAAAATCAGGTACCACTTTACAATAAGGCTCCCCTTATATATGGCTTATAAATAGTTTAAAGATAGGTTATTAATTCATCAGTAAACACTTTATAAATTGTTAATAAGTATTTATTATTCATTAATTAAGGACAAGAAAGAGACAAAACTGTCCGATTTCTTGCCAAATAGTGAGCCAAATGTGTTCATGTATCACATCTAAAGGTGCTTATTGAACATTTCAGACTAGTTTACTACCTTGTAAGCACAATAATTTATTGAAAACACATATTTTACATAAAATATTGTACTGTATTACCGCATTATACATATCCACAGTAATCAAAGGGAGCCTTATCATAAGTGTTGAACAGTATAATAATAATAATGTCACAACAGAGCCTTGTAAATTGTGTACTGTTTTACACTTTACAATAAGGCTCCTTTATGGCATTTACACAAATTTATTAGTCATTAATAAATAGTGTACCTACTGTCTTACATTTTACAATAAGGCTCCCTTTGACAATTGCTAATATGTATAAGTAATAGTTCAATATTATTTTTAAATATGTGTTTCCAATGCATGATTGGGCTTATAAACCTAGTAATATGTACACAAACAGATTTGGCCCACTGTTTGGCAAGAAACTGGATATTTTTGTCTCTTTCCTGTCCTTAATTAATCCATAATAAACATTTATAAATGATTTGTAAAGTGTTTACAGATGAATCAATAACCTATCTATAAACCATTCATAAGCCATCTATAAGGGGAGCCTTATGTGGTACCAAAAATCATAACATTTTCTGCAAACACTGTTTTATACATTTTTACATCACCATCAGTTTTGAATTGCATGGTTACTTCAGCAGATATCATGTRATGCTCCTGATAAAAGCAGACTGCTTCAGAAGCATATAGCTATCTGTTAGCAATTAATGGCTTGACTCCATTAGCTGTTAATTGGTTATAGCACTAGCTAGCTGCCGCTGCTATTTGTGCTTGCAGAATATCTAGATGTTAAAAAGTTAAATTGAAAATGGTGTAAAAGTTTTTATAAAGCTTAGAATTTTGTTGTTTTTAAAGGGGATTGTTCAAAGATGACAGTGATCCTCTTTAGTCCTGACCTCTTAGGCTGTGTTCACACTGCAAGTCTTACTGCTCAATTCAGAATTTTTGCAAAATCAGGTATTTTGGCATGGACGTTCACATTATATTTTGACATGATGTCATATTCATCTCGCTGTTTAGAGAAGTAAACATGGATGCTACATGATAGCTTGTCAATTCTGCAGTAGTTGTGCAATCGGAGTCAATAAAAACATATCTGACATGCTTGTTTATATTATAATATTTGAACCTGCCTCTGACCAGATGCTCTGGTGCAGCATTTTATTTTTGGAATGATGCGACATGCTAAAAGTAACGTATCGATCGAGTAACTTTAGTATACGGTTCACGACCGATGTTGGGCGCTATGTATGGAAAATTAAAAGAAAAGGCTGAAAAAAATCTATGCAATTTACAGATAATCCACACAATGTGGCATGTTTGGGAATGCAAAATGAGTGTTTAGACTAAGGTCGCTTTGAAAACATCAGATTCTGTATTCAATTGAGTACCACATGCCGAAAAGGCCTGGGTCGGATTTGAAAAAATTGGATTTGTCATGTCCAGACTGTCATGATCTGACATGGGTTGCAAAGAGGCAGAGAAATCAGATTTAGAGCATATTTGTCTGCAGTGTGAACRTGGCCTTAGAGAACGCCTTTCATTTGTTAATCTGGACACAATGAAAGCTTTTGTTCAAGCCATCTACAACAAGTAAGATATTAATTGTTCATAACACTTCCACAGAACCCCACTTCAAAACATCTGAACTATCACTTTAAGGACAGTTTAAGGGTTGTTTGACGTCAGGCTGTTCAGCTGAAGAAGATCAGTTGTTGGAGCCACAATTTCAAGCAAGCGACCCGATGAACCCCCAGAAATAAACTGACTCATAGATCAGTAAATACTTCTAATCACAAACAAAACCATGTCATCCTGTTACATCTAACACCTCAAAACATTTTCCTTTACAAGCTCAGTCTTGTTATTACCAAGCACATTTTTTTCTCTTCTTTGTTTCTTTGCACAACCTGAGCAACAACCTGAGGAGAGAGGAATAAATAAATCTGTTTAAACACACACTCAGAGAGGTGTGTGTGTGTTTGTGTGTGTGGGTGTAGGGAACCCTGTCCAACTGGGCCTGGTGATAAGGAGGAAATTATTCCTGCAGAGCACTTCTGGGAGGAAGACTCTGTCCTCCATCATTTCTGTAGGGTTTATGCCTAATGTTGTTTAACAGCAGAGTGTGCACTGACCCATTTACATCAAACATCCTGCAAAAGGCTTTTTATTGGCATCAGAAGTGGCTGAGTTGAAGGAAAACGTTGAAGCTGCTGGAATTTATTTTTTTTTCTATCATAATTGTCCTTTCAGCCTTGCGTGGGATACTTTGTCCAAAGAAAGTTTAAATCAGTTCATGTGATTTTTCCTTTTGTTTTAAACAAAAACAGTTGAATGACTTCACTGAACAGGAATTATTGACTGATTCAATGTTCTCTTTAAATCTTTGGCCTCAGAGCAGAGACAGAAAGAGGCTTGTCGCGGAAACACATTATTGAAGGTAAAATTGTTTATTTAAAGATCCAATTGAGTTTTCTACTATTTCACTTCAAGTTTCAGAAACTGTGTCTCTCAGGTCTGAAAGGTTCTCTACAGAGGATGCAGATGGAGTATGTAGATGTGGTTTTTGCCAATCGTCCGGACAGCAATACTCCCATGGAGGGTGAGTCARCTTATTAATCCTTATTCTTCCATATGTTTTTTTTGCATGTATCTTGTGCAATTTTTGTGCTTTTCAACGATTTGTTTATCAAAAAACCATCTCCTTACTTTAGCAGTTTATAGTTTTTTAAATATTTAGCCTTTCTGCCATTTTTTCCTCATTAAAAATAAATAAAGCTGTCAACATCCTCAAAACCTTTCAARCTGTTCATAAATTTACCTTTTGTTCTGCTTTATTAACTCCTTTTGTGCTAATTTCAGCTTCCTTCAGCTTTTATTTAGCTGATTTCAGCTTTTTTTTGCTTTTTTAGCCATCAGTCTGACCTTTTCTGTTAATTTTCTGCTAATTTAAATTTTTTGTGTTTCTTTCAGCTGCTTTTTGCTAATTTCAACTGTTTTGTGTGATTTTAGTTCGTTTTTATAGTTTGAGCTTTTTTCAGCTAATTTAACCTTTTTAGGATAATTTCAGCTTCTTACTTCTTAATTTAGCAAACATGCTTTTTCTGTTTCTTTGTACTAATTTCAGCTACCTTTTTTAAACCTATTTTTAGTCTAGTTTCAGTTTTTTTAACCATTAGGCAAAAATCTTTCAGCATTAAGCATTCACACTGCATTTTCACAGGTAATTCAAATTCTCTGTTATTCATTTATGCTCAAAAGAAGGGCAAAAAATAATAATAAATAACAAAAACCTAACATTATTTATACKTTGTTGTACTGAACCAAGATACAAATGTTTTGCTTCAAAAGTAGTTGATGGAAACTTGGCCAAGTGTTGCATCACATTTTGTGGCCACAGTTTAAAAAAAGGGGCAAACATGAATCATTTTGTTCAGAAAAGTCACATTAATTCTGTGCAACTGTTTCACTTCGCTGAGCATGATTTCCTCCCGTTATTGAATTGCAGCGCTAGAAATGTCTGTGTGTCATCACTTTCTGGCTGCATTTTGGTACAAGCAGCATTTTTCCTGAGTGTGATCATTTTTACACAGGGAATAAAAAAAGTCCAAGAACTTTTTTCATTAGCTTCTTGTTCAACAGAATGAGATCGATATCAGAGCTCTGAATCAACGGTCAGTTAGGGGAATTTCTTTTAGGTTCAGGGAAACAGGTAGAGCTTTGTGTTAAATATACAATTTGTAGCTCTGATTAAACAACTGGTTGCTAAAACCTGTTGAATTGGTATTTGTCGCCAGTATCAACAGTGAGGYTTCAGTGAACTAAGGAAGTTAAATCTGATAGCTTTATCTCAACTCAGATATATGTTTGTGCATGTACTGCTATAATAACTAAAGAATAAAATTTATGAAGAACTGTTTTTTTATTRTTTCAAAATGTATGACTGAACTAACAGGGAGTTAGTTAACATTTTTTATCACAAATTAGAGACTCAAGAAACTGAAACAAACATTTTATTGCAAACATTCATTTTTATGAAGCTGCTTATTGACAAACACATTAGAARTGCATTTGTTCCTCAACACCTATTATACAGGGTGAGTCAAAAGTCACAGGACATGCTTTGTATTTCAGAAGAAAATGGAAAAATACACATATGAATATCCCAACAATGAGTGAGGAGGTCTGTCTTTTAGGTTATGTCCAGAACATGGCCACCAACTTGAAAGCTGCCATAGTGGATCAAGGGCAAGKTTTTCCAAAGATAGGCCTCTTCGCCCATTAATTACTGGGGTATTCAGAAATGTAATGTTCTCTTTTCTTTCTAAAATTAAAAGAGTGACCAGAGACTTTTGACTCACCCTATACTGTATATCATATGTGTCAAACTCCAGGCCTGCGGGCCAAATCTGGCCCTCATTAACATTTATCTGGGCCCAAAGGTAATACTTTAAAGTATATAATAGTTGTATGGTTTCTCTTTTTGGCATTGTATGTGGCACTTTTTTCTCAGGAGAGTTGCCAACATATAAGCCAAGAAAAATTGATTTTGATTCTTCAGTAACCTTAGATTTTGGTGTGGAAAGAACAGAATTGACTTTATTTATCTTCTTATGTGTTCTTATCTTATTTTAAAGTCAAATAATTGGATTTTGAGTGAGGTTTTTTTATACCTGATTTGCTGGATTTTGATCAAATGTATAAATGAAAAAGGGAATAAGGAATAAGAAATGAATGCTAATTATGACTTTCTAAATGTAACATTTTTACTTTATCTTGTARGTTTTGGATGTTCTAAATGCTACATAAAACATAATTTGGAAAATATGATTGTATTTCTACAAGAACAGTTTGTCATTTAGCATTTCTTCAATAAATATTGACAGAATTTGGCCCTTCAAAAAGACATTTCATCTTTTTAAAACCATGCAGCTTGTTCAAAAGCAAACTTTATTCCTCTAAACCAGGTTGTTGAAAAAACAATCTCACGTATGTATATTAACTGTTCACCGTCTTTCCAAAGAACCCCACTTCAAAAGATCTGGGCCGGTATTTATAAAACGTCTTAGAATTACTCTTAAGAATGCTGCTAAGAGTGGACTTAAGTGTAAAAAAAATCTTAGTTAAAAGATGAGAACTGGCACTTACACTTAAGTCTGAGAGTAGGAGCGAATCTAAGACATTTTCAGCACTTAAGTCTAAAAATCCACTCGAAGAAGTTTTATAAATATACGGGCCCTGAACTGTYTCTTTAACATTTGGATTAAGCGTTTAACCAATGCACAATAAACTGTAGGTCCATGTGATGTAAAAGACAAGCTACCCTTTAATTAATGTCTAAATAATCTCAACCCTTCATTGGTAATCTTGTTGATGAGGTGTTTTTACTGTTATATGGCAGCGCTTTTTGTGTTCTTGTATGATCTGTAAATGAGCACATGCAAAGATTTTTTTCTCTGACCTTTTTATTAATTTCTAGTTTTCTGCACCGTCCCTCACATCCTGATTCACTCATTAGAGCTGTTTTTTTAAGTCTTTCTGTACTCATGCAGGCCGGAAATTGTGGCAGGTTGCTTTTAAATGTGAGCGCAGCATCTTGTGGAAACAAAGCGGATGTCAGCAGAGCAGGGTGAGGGCTGGAGACGAAGRCAGGAGTAGCCATAAAAACAAAAGACGTTGACTTTTGTCTTTCCTACAGGGTGTTATTTCCCTTGGCAGGATGCTGTTGACTTAGCCATGTTGGTAATTATTACCTGCCAAACAACAAAATAATGATAAAAAAACAGTCCTSTGGAGTCATCTTGACTCAGTCCTTTTTTTCTAACTAAGTTCTTTAACTTTAGTGTTATCTGCCAACTTTTGTTCTTTTTTTTTTTCAATTTCCTGATCTCACATAATCGGTTGTCTTGCCAAGAGCCGGTTCTGTGGAGTGGACAACAAGAGTTCTGCCATGATGAATGATGGCATTATAATTGAAGAGTGCGCACAGCGATGATGAACAACCGTAATGACAACCCCAGTTTGAGTTTTTTTTTTTTTTTTTTGATATGACTGCTGCTGGCTCACCCAGTCAGCAGTGTTGGAGCTAATTGCACCATAAAAAACTGCAGTTTGAATGTGATCAGAGGGGCTTTAGTACAAGAGCTTGTTAGTTCATCCCCAGAGTCATTAGGGACGGGGGCTGAGCCATCAGCTTGAAAGAGCGAATTGGCGAAGAGGGTGGCCATTTTTCTCTTATTGCTTCATCAAAAACTGGATGAAAAATCAGAAGTTACTGTTCTTCTTGGCTGCTGTGTTCCTCTGGATTTATCTTCATTTTCCTTTGGTCGTTTTCTGTTTATTTGTCTTTATGAACTTAAACACAAACAGTGTTGTGTTTCTTAGTGATTCTTTTTATAAATGTATATTTTTATGAATCTGGGTGTTTGTTAATTAAAAGCAAATGCTGCCAGCCTGCAGGCAAATAACATCAACCTGATATTATAGTCATGTATGCATATTTTGTGAAAGAAACAAAAAAACAAACCAAATTTATGATTGGATTCCAGTAATAAAATAACACTTTTGTACTTTTTTCTCATATTTTGACAGTTTATTTGAGTTTATAAGTGCTTCACTGTCTTTAACAACTACAAACATTTAGATTAGCTGGTTATACTGATATTTTATTTGTCCCTACTGCCATAAATGGTTAAATAAATCAACAGTGTTTTTGTGTTTATTCRGCTAACTGATATGATGTGGGATTTTGCAATTTATGCAGAAATTGTTCGAGCAATGACCTATGTGATCAACCAAGGCATGGCGATGTATTGGGGAACATCTCGGTGGACAGCGATGGAGATCATGGTAAGCACAGCAAAGATTGTATTTCAACCTCTATAAGGGATGAAGTATCAGAAATAACAAAAATTTGAAAACTACTAAGCCCCCATGCTTGTGTTTACTCAAGTACCACAAAGTGATACTTGAGTAAAAGTCTTAAAGTATCTGATACTTTTTGTACTTAAGTATTAAAAGTAAAAGTATTGAATTAAAATGAGCTGTTAGATTTTCTGTAATTACATTTATTAGGAGGTGACCTCCCCAAAAGCAGAAATGACTATATTGTATTAAAATAATTAATTTATGTTAAATTTAAGCTGCACTAGTTCAGTTGTTTCAGTTTATATACATATTAAGGCTGCAGAAATCTTTTCCCCAAAATGAAAATCTATCTGAGGGCTGCAGCCAAATGCAATGATATAATTCATGAGATACAAATACAAACTAATACGGTATCAGAATTTTATATATTTATACTTCTCATTCAACCACAATTAAATTTACTCTATCTAGGAGACACAGTTTATATGGACAGTATTATTTTTTTACAATAACAAGCTGGAATAAAAACAAGCAAAATTAAATAAAAGTAACAACATTCTACTTCTTGCCTTTTTTAATTTAAGGAGTAGAAAGTACAGATAATTGTGTGAAAATGTAAGAAGTAGAAGTAAAAAGTAGACTGAAAGATAATTACTCAAGTAAAGTACAGATACCCAAGCATTCTACTTAAGTACAGTAAAGAAGTATTTGTACTTTGTTACTTTACAATTCTGTTAGGGTTAACTATTTAATCGTGCCAGTGCAGAAAAACTATTGACAGCACTGTCACTGTGCACRTGTGTGATTTCACATTAATGCTGGGCATTTACAATAAACCTTCACTCTGAGACCAGGATCCAAAAAGCTTCAGGTACAAAGAAAACAGTCCCTGCTGTCAGGTACATAAATGGCCGAAACACTGAAGAAATTGACTCAAAAATGGCGTAATGTAAACAGGGCTGAAGTAATGCTTTAGGGCATTAATTAATATAACATATATTACCACAATTTAAAAATTGTTTGACATAGATCAATAAAATGGCTGAGGAACAAACCACTACCATTTTCAGTTTGATACTCCTTTTTTATTTTTGGTCAATTATTTAGTGGCAGCTCAGTATGAAAAAATACAACCCAGTTTTATTTTAATATTTGGCATAGATTCACACTCATTTGCATTAAAATGCAATTTATTGTTGGGGGTAGAAACCTAATAAACACGACACCATGTGTTTACAGAAGATTAAAGTCTTTGTTGTGAAATAGAACTTTTTTTTGTCATTTCTGTAACAATAACATTGACGTTTTATAGGGGTTGGAAGCCATAACCATTGTTTGTAATGTCTTATTTAATTTGTTTAATKGTCATAAAGCTGTGTATTACTTCACTAGAGTTGAAATACAGGGAGTCAACTCACAAGGTTARATGTGTGGTGCTCTTAAAAAACTGATAATGTTCACAACATTGGACAAATGGCTGCAGATGGATCCCATGGGTCTCAAAGGGCTTTCCAACTGGGTCAGGTTAAGCCACAAGACATCCATGTCAGAATCCCTTCTGTGAAGAAGGGGAACAAACACGAGCGGTTTCTCCCCAGGAGGAGTCTTAAGCCCTGTGATTAAAAAGTCAATTAAATGCCTGGGAAAGGTCATCAACAACACATTAAAGGACACAACCACATTTCAAGAAACACGCAGACAGTTAAGCACCCTGAGAGTGAGGCCAAGGAGGTTTACGGTCTASATTTAACATCACGGTATCTTACCATAAATCCACTTGTTCACTGCTCTGTTACAACTCTGCTTTCAAAGAGACTATTTTTACTTTGTTTTTGGGCGGTTTGATTGTACCTTATGAAAGACTTCCTTATTCAGGATTAAGGACACCTCTTCAGTAGGCTGTCAGGTGCTATGATGTGGGGCTGCTGCTGTTGGTTAGGTTCATCAACACTATAAAKGTTCAAACGAAACATTAGAGTGGTGTATTTAAAGATTTAATGGTATTTTTAAAAATATGTTATAATTTAGTTGTATAGTAGTTTTGGGGAAAATGAACATTGGTTTCCTTGGCTTTGTTTCCTCCTCCTGTCATACAATTTAGTTCTTGCTTCAGCTTTCACTTCAGTAATGAATGTGTCCACATAGCAGGGATTTGTGCAATAAAACACTCCTGAAGTAACAGTCAAGGACACCTTCTCCTCTCTTCTCTCCCTAAGCTCGATGCAGTTTGTTGTCATCCGCACTCTGTTGTTTCAGTGAAAAGAAGAGTATACCTTTAAACAACAAAAGGCCTGTTGAAAGCTGTTATTTAAATAGCATAAATAATGAAAGGGGTTAAAAAGGGGGGTTCAAAGTGTATGTTACACAGCAGCTTTACATGTGTGAATAAATGCATGGACACACTCAAAGGCTCTGATTACAGCACAGAACAGTAACCAGTCATTTGTGTGTTCAGTGAAGGCAGGCAACAGAGTAAAGGGTTGTTGTAAGAACCAGAACTGAACTGTGTGATTATGTGTTTGTGTTTGGGGGCT